TTTATTTTAGCAAATTTTTACCCCCGTATTCCATATCCAAGCAATACTTGAACCGAACCACCAGTCAAATCTTGAAATGAAATTTTGGCCCAGGAGCCAAATAGTTTGCTTGGCCCTGGATTAACCAGTAATATAATCCTTACATAAATACCTTCGCCGTAGTTGCAGTAAAAATAGCCATTGTGAAAATGTTACGGCCTGAAATGCGGAATTACTGAAAAGCAAGTCAGTGTGGATCCTTCACATTTTTTGGTCTTGGTATTTGAACCATTTAGACACAAAAAAATCTGGTAGTCATTAACATAAGATGGACTCTTGTCTTTCGACTGAGTTCTTTTTATGTGACATTAAGTGCTGTTTGTGGGAGTCAAATGTTGTTCACTGGTACTAATTACTGAAATATTTATAGTTCCACTGAAGGAATATTCCATTGTCTGCTTGTCCTTTCTGCCAGAAGGACAAACCCCAGTCTGTGAGAGCTTTCTTCTATACAGTAATAAGACCAAAGTGTCTACCTTCTTGAGTGAAGATACAGAGATCAGCCATGTGATTCATATTTTTTAAAAAAATATTTTGTTTAACTAGTTTATTATTAATCATGAAGGGAAAAAAAGTAAAAATGTATTTTTTTCCAAAGTTATCCCAGTAACAGTAAGATCTTGAGATTACCCACTGATTAAAAACAAACAAACAGGTCTGACCAAATACTGCTGCTGTTACACTGGGAAATAACCTTCAGGAATTCTATGTCACAAAACATTCACTCACTTTTTATTTGCCACATAACGATTGTGGCACAGTTGAGATTCAGTTAGTTCTTGAGCTACGTTAAACCCATTTTCCTGACATAAAACTCAAACCTGATGTGTTGTAGCCATTTGAGTCTAAAGGAGGCTAAAAATAATTATCCTTCACAGTGTGTCATTTTGTCTTACCTAAATGTGTCAAAGATGTCTCCCTGCACTCACTCCACCTTGTATGTGTGTTTCAGGGGGGCGTTCTCTGAGGTGGTCCTGGCCGAGGAGAAGAGGACCCAGAGGTTGGTGGCGGTCAAGTGCATCCCTAAGAAGGCATTGGAGGGCAAAGAAAACAGCATTGAGAACGAAATAGCAGTACTGCACAAGTAAGTGGACCCTTCCGGATCAATTTTACACTAGATATACAACATTGTTGGTGATGGAGGCATCCAAAAAAATTCAAATATGTCTGTGTCAAAACCACATGCTGTGAGTACCAGCATCTGAAATACAATCTACAATCGACTCAGAGATGGTAAATTTTTCATCACTGTATCTCCATTACTGTATCATGCTTGTTGTATCACATTACTTGATATGCTGCATGTCATATATGACTGAAGTAATATAATCTTCCATGTTGCATCTGATATGCATCTCCTCTGTCACACGGACACATGCAGGCCCCTGTAAGCAGTGGTTCCAGACACAGTACACTGTTTTTCAGACGTGTTGAAAATACAGCTTGTATTTAGTGTCATGGGTAATCTGGAAAAACCAGTGACCTCATTCCAAAAATGTTTAGTGGAATTGTAATGGTTTCATTAACAGCTCAGTTTAAGTCGTGTGCTGTTGGTGTTTTGTTTTGTTTTTTTGTTAAAGGAGATCACAAGGTGCTAATGAAGACTCTCAGCTCCAGACATCTCTCTACTTCTCTCATCCATGTTAACATCTTGTGTTGCCTAGTGATTTGCTCTGCACAGAAGTGATTTGTGTTTTTTTTTTTGTAAAGAGTGATGGAGCTGAAGAGGAAGCTGCATGTATATGGAAGACACCTCTAAATGAGTAGAATTAAAGCAAGCAGTGACAAACCCACCAAAATGTGGATTTAGTGGTAGAAAAATCTTTAAAATGTTTTTTGTGCTTCTAAAATATCAAAAGGTTATTTTATTTAATAATGATTTAGCATTTTTTGCTAGGGCGTGTCACATTGAAAATAGTTTTGCATTCCTAAAAGTCACAAGTCTGGTAAAACCGATACACACGTGCTTGTTAAGACATGCAAAAAAAACTTTTGTGAAGGTTTGTGAAAAGACAAAACTAAAGGTTAGCCAAACATATAACCAGAAATAGACTGACTTCTGCCAATAAAAAAATACTAATATTAAACAGACAATAACCAAATACAGCATATTAAGTTAGACTTGGTATATTTGTATATAATGCTACACATTTGTGTTTACATTTGAAAAAGGGTTTTGTAAAATGTGGGGTCATACTGATAAAGAAAATCGAAGCAGACATTTTCCCATCCATCCTATGGTCTTGTCAATCTGTGCATAACATTCGATGTGTCAATATTATCTTAAAGGAATGTGACTTACACCCTGCAGGTATTGTAGAGTGTTTCAAACATACTTGATACTCCTCAGATGCGGTGAAATAACAGGCCTTTGTGAAAACGGCTGATTTACATTGGGTGGGAGTTATTTTTAGAGCGCCTGTTGCCTGGGTTACAGGAGACACACAACTCCAGCCAGTGTACAGCTCTGATCTCTCCCAAGGTGAGGATGTTGGAATGAGTGTAGTGAGGCCTTGTTTCCAGTTTGGAACTACATGGACTAGTGGATAGACTGGGAAGGACTTGGCCTGAAAACCATGGTGTGAAGTTCACAGGGACACATGGAAAGCTTACTTGTAATGCAGAAATGATCCAGCAGGTTTCAACATGTTTCGCTTCAGGTCACACAGTTGGAAAAAATGAAGCTTTTATTAAGAGAAAGTTATAGAGGCAGATTGTTAGACCCTGCTTTTCCCACCACTGTGGTCCAAATATAACTCAACCAGTTTGGGTTTCTTCAGTCATTTGGAAGTCAAGAATCAGGAGGTCTTCGTAGAAGCAGTCACATAGTGTTGTTACAATCCACACCCACTGTGGGTGCTATTCATACCTGAACAGGCTTGATGAACTTTGGAGTTCCTACTCACTTGCGCATTATTGTTGCACAGTTTTGTTTCTGGCATCATCATTTTGTAATTTAAGACCAAAGGCTCACCAGGCAAATATTTTCTCAGGTTGTAAATTAACAAAGAATTAGCCTGATTTTCCATATATTTGCACACAAGGAAAATAACCTTAGGTTTACTTTGTTACAGCAGGATTGTGTCAAAAACAAGGATGAGAAAAAGAACCTGGTCTGTAGTCAGGACCAACCAAGGATGAGAAGAAGAACCTGGTCTGTAGTCAGGACCAACTGTTTTCTTTTATTCTTTTTTTTTTTAAAACATTTATTTCTATCATTATTTCTCCTGTTTGCTACAAAAAAAACATGTATTTATATCATTATTTCTCCTGTTTGCTACAAACAGCTAAATTTCGACTAATTCACATCACTCTTCCAGTCTAGTTTTATACACTGAGCCAAGATGTGGTTTGGGTCAGTGCTCTTTATAGACTCACTATAGTGTCACAGCTTCATGTTTACTGATGACCTTTGTGCAGTATTTTAATTGAAAATACATTAAATATCTGTCAAACATTAAAACGTTCACCTCCAGACCAGCAAACCATCACTGTCAACTACAGTTAACAACACCACGTCCAGAGGTTAGTCTGCTCCCACTGTTTCTGCTCATTTTGTAAATGATTGTTGTGTCTCATGATGTAAATCATGTGAATAACTTTCAAACATCGGTGTAAGGGGGCACGACAAGACCCAGATGATTTTGATTGGACGCTCACTGTGATGCTTCAACTGCTCAGCTAATGCTGGTTTGATATGTTGTACCTCTGCTGTAAACCTGTGATATCATCACATTGACTCCTACGTGCAGCTAGACTAAATATAAACTCAGACTTTCGGTGGTCAACCTCATTCTGTCTCTCCGCTAAGCCCTTTGTGTTTGTGCCAGTTTGTAGAGCTACAGAGTATTTGCTGCAGAGGTGATGTTTAAAAATAAGAAATTTATGTCACAGGCCTGTATATCACGTCTTGGAATAATTTATAAAGCTTTGCTGGTGCTAGATCTGCCCCATGACCTAAAATGCCTCTGGTACCTGTATAAACACACAGTCATTGAGGGTTGTTTTTAAGCCAGTAAGGAGATACAAATGTCATTTGGAAACATTCCAATTTAAGTGTAAGTATTTATTAAATATAACTGGCCCTAAAATGAACCAACGTTACCTCAAATCTATGCTTACCAACCCTTACTAAGGCAAACATTTAGTTAAATCATGTAAATTATAACAATTATATAATAACGGAGCCAAGCCTTGTAACTAAGTTACGTCAAGATAATTGTATTTATACAGTTAGATTAATTAGAATTTAATTAAAATGTCCCATCAAAAACTAAAGGTTTAACAGGGGAAAACGGAGGAATGTGTATACAGTCAATGTTGTACTGAGTATTTATTAACAATATAGAGCAAGGAATACACACACACAAATACAGTATGTGTGTGTAGTATTGTGTGGGAGTGGTCCAGCACATGGACATGTGTTTGCTCGATGGCCAGGTTTAATCCACTGTTTATCCATCACTGGGTCCATCACTACTTCATGCTGAGCTGGGCAGTTGACTGGAGAAGTCCATGCATTGTTCCAATCTGGATAAGATGCACTGCTGTAATCCAGTAATAAGCTGTAGCTGACACATACCACACAGAGTTTCAGCTCTGTCACAGCTCAGGTATACAGTACAGACCGTGTCTGCGCTCCTTTTATTCAAATTAACCGTAACCTGCATACTGTACTTAAAGATAACATTTGAAATAAGAAGTAAGCTTTTTTGTCTTCATCTTCTTCAGTTTTGTTCTTTTAAGACACAGGAATCCTCTGACAAACAAAGGAGTTTTAGTTGTCTGTATACTCGACAAGGTTAGATTTAACTAATACCTAAAAGTAATTTTTTTTTCTCTCTAACGAGTCTAACTGGTTCTCAAACTAATCCCACAAGTCATTTACCAAGATTCCAACCCCTGCAGTTGAGCAACTAAGTCATAAGTAATCCTAACAAGTCCTTCAGCAAAGCTAACAAACCCTCAAACTAAACAAGAAAGTGCTACCAATACAGCCAAAAACCAAACAAACCTGTCTCTGAACTAATCAACCGATCTTCCATGTAACAAACACGTCTTCCAGCTAAGCTTACTAAGCTAACAAGTCATTTAATTATTTTTAGTTAATTTAGTTAATTTAGTAGAAAAACATAGTCCAGTATTTAGTCATGTTATAAACAGTGTAATAAATTTAGTTAATTTAGTAGAAAAACATCATTTCAGTCCATTATTTAGTCATGTTATAAACAGTGTAATTATCAACATCATGACTTTGTCCAATCAGAGTTTGAACTCGTGCACATTCTCTTAGTTCATTGTACCTGGAATTGACAAGAAGGTAAACTCAGTGTTTCCTCTGAAGCTGCATTTAAGATCAAAAGAGTGACTGTGTCAGTGAAGCCCCAGGTCTCAAGGTGCAGAAGATCAGAGTTGAGTCAATTATGGAGCTGTGTGACAACAAACAGCCTCCATCACAACTAACCACTGCTGCACCAAAATGAACACAGCCTTCTTTTTGTGTTCTCTCCTCTCAGGATTAAACACGCCAACATCGTGTCTCTGGAAGAAATCTTTGAGAGCAAATCACACCTCTACCTTGTCATGGAACTGTGAGTATTCACACATGCGGATGGTTTGTGTGATGTGTGTCCTATCTTCCCACTCACTGCGTGCTGCGTGGCATTAATTGCACCCTGTAACACACAAACACAAACGTGCTGGCATGCACACACGGTACAGTGCCTTTTTGTGAGCACCAGTGGGGAGTTTGCCCTCACTGCTGCAACCCGTCATCCTGCCCCCGCCGTCCTCCACTAAGGCCTCATTTTTCATAGTTTTTCTCAAATAGTCTTAAATAATTGCAATACTACTGACTAATATCCATCCATCCATCCATTTTCATCCACTTATCTGTTACCGGGTCGTGGGGGCAGCAGTCTCCATGACCGCCACCCAAATCACACTGCACCGTACCAGCCCCCCCGAACCTTCCTGTGGGAAGGGAGTCCACTGGAAGGTACCAACTGCCCTAACTGGGATTCGGTCTTGCCCAGGAGGTGAACCCTGGGGATCCACACCAATGACAGAGACAAAGCGCCACTGCTACTGACTAATATTAAAGGTCAAAAGTCGGTGTAGGATCGTTGTAGTTTCATCATGACTCTCCACTGTGCGATTACATCTGTTGAATGTGTCACAACGTTTCATTGTGTGCTTCCTCTATTCCTCATTATCATAAAGTGAAAACATGAAAAGCATGTTTGAGATGATTGTGACAAGCGACATTTACCTGAAATGGGTAAAGTAAAAATAGGTTAACATTTCCACCCACTGTTTACAAATACCCTAATAACATTATTAGCAATTGTTCACTAACAAACAGCATGCTGCAGAGCATTCACTTTGACCCTTTAAACCTGTAAAAGTCTTACTGTACAGCAGACCTTTTTATTTGAATGTTTATTACATACAACATACAGTAATTGAAATGCCTATGTGAGTCATTTCAATGTAAGCGTGGTTGTTACTGGAGGTGTGAAGCCACTAGGTGGTGTTAAGTCTCCATCTAGTGGCGTAGAATTCTAACACCGAAAAAATCTGATTCAGTGTTTGCTCTGCTATTATTTACGTCACTAAAACGTATATCTTGATGCATTACATTACTCATGAAATTGTAGATGACAGTGTAGTCTGTATCATAGTATCATTGAGGTCAAAATATTTTGTCTTGTCCTTCAAAACAAGTCTACAGTTATATCCCCCAGCATTCTTTCCTCCATTTCCATTCCCCATCCCATCAATCATTCCCCATGTGGTGAACTTCTTTAATAACCAGACAGAACCTTCTGTGTTCAGGGTGTCTGGTGGAGAACTCTTTGATCGCATCATTGAGAAAGGCTTCTACACTGAGAAAGACGCCAGTAAACTCATTCAGCAGATTCTAGATGCTGTCAAATACCTCCACGACATGGGCATCGTACACCGTGACCTGAAGGTCGGTCAGAGTTGAAAGATTTGTATTTAATTTAGTGTATTTATTTATTTATTTTTAAAAATCAACACATTTTGTTTTTAATCTCAAAATGTCATTCCAGCCAGAGAATCTGCTGTACTACAGCATGGACGAAGACTCCAAAATCATGATCAGTGACTTTGGTCTGTCCAAAATTGAGGGCTCTGGCAGTGTGATGTCAACAGCCTGTGGGACCCCTGGATATGTTGGTAGGGAAATGCCTTTATTAATGCTGCATAAATAAAAGAATCAGCAACAAAACCCTTTTTATTTCCAGAACATTTTCTTTTTAACATCATTATATTATTTTTATTTATCTAGTAAATCAAATTTTAGTTCATATTTATTTTACAAGAAATTCCACTTTAACCACAAGTGGATGAAAACACATTTGGTTTTTGCTTTTATGTTTAGTTCAAGTTTGCCATTCAAATAAACAGTAGGTTTGTACAACTGTGGCAAAGTCAATTGTTTACATCTAAACATACATATTTATGTATTTCTTCAGCTCCTGAAGTGTTGGCTCAGAAACCCTACAGTAAAGCGGTGGACTGCTGGTCTATTGGTGTCATATCCTACATCCTGTGAGTTTACTTGTAATATAAATTACTTTTTTTTGTTGCAAATGAATTATGATGTGATAAGTGTCCCCATGTCTTGGAACCAGATGTTTGGCATCACTGGTGGCACTGCTGAGCATCTGGGAGGAAGTCTCCCACGTGTCTGTGTGGAAACCTGACGCCTAATCTCTCTTGTGTGTCTCAGGTTGTGTGGTTACCCTCCTTTCTACGACGAGAGCGATGCCAAACTGTTTGAGCAGATTCTGAAGGCAGAGTACGAGTTTGACTCTCCGTACTGGGACGATATCTCTGATTCAGGTACCTAGTCCCTCCTTCTTTTCAAAGGTTATTGTCACAAAATGCCAACATAGGGTTCAGAAAATATAAAAGAAGCCACCTATTAATCGTATTAGCAATATTTAGTATTTTATGATTTTTTTTTACTCTAAGGACTTTGAAATATCATCATACCAATGATTATTAAACTCAAAATAGCATGAATAAATATGTAACTCGATTTTGTAGCTCAAATATTTTTATCCTTTGTTTCTCATCACAGCTAAAGACTTCATTGTCCACCTGATGGCGAAAGACCCCAGTGTACGTTACACCTGTGACCAGGCACTGCAGCATCCCTGGTAATATTCTGAAATCTGTTTTTTTTTTAACTTTTTCCTGATTGTTTGTATTTTCCTGTGTTAAAACTCAAAACTTTTTTTGTTTTTTTCTCATCTTTGTCAGGATCGCTGGAGACACAGCTCTGGATAAGAACATCCATGAGTCTGTCTGTGCTCAGATCAAGAAGAACTTTGCCAAAAGCAAGTGGAAGGTGAGTCTTAAACCTTAGACCTGTGAGATGAACCGTTACCGTCTGCTGTCACTGATGTACGATCGTCCGCGCGGCCTTTTCTCTGCAGCAAGCATTCAACGCCACAGCTGTGGTTCGTCACATGAGGCGTCTCCAGCTGGGCACCAGTCACGAGGGACCCAACCCTAACCTACCCAGCCCCTGCCGAACCCACCTGCTGCTCCCAGAGGGAGACACCGGTACCTGCTGTGGTTTTTAACTTAGTCCAGACGGGGGGGCGGGGAGGTGGGGGGGTGTTCTATATGACAGACACAAGTGTTGTTAGCGACTGTGGACTGATGATTATTGCTGAGGACAAGGGTTTCATGGAAGTTTTCAAAGTTGCAAATCTCAGTGCACTGATTGTGTTCTCCAATCCATCATCAAATACACAGTGACTAACGCTAACCAACTCTCTGAAGCTAAATCTTAGTAGTTAAACTTCATGATTAATCGAGATGATTTTGACTGATCAGTTTGACAGCCTTAATATTTTATGTGTCAGTCTGACGTGTGGACTGAAGAGGTGGGGGTGTGTTCTATATGACAGACACAAGTGTTGTTAGCGACTGTGGACTGATGATTATTGCTGAGGACAAGGGTTTCATGGAAGTTTTCAAAGTTGCAAATCTCAGTGCACTGATTGTGTTCTCCAATCCATCATCAAATACACAGTGACTAACGCTAACCAACTCTCTGAAGCTAAATCTTAGTAGTTAAACTTCATGATTAATCGAGATGATTTTGACTGATCAGTTTGACAGCCTTAATATTTTATGTGTCAGTCTGACGTGTGGACTGAAGGTTTTCTCAGATGAGACTCCACCCACGTTCCCTCTGAGGTATTGCCTTATCTCCCACACTGTAACGGGGAGTTTAAATATAGCAGCCTGGTGTTCACTTTCACACAGTGGTGCTGATAACATGTTTCACGTCTCTCCATCTCATTCTGTTCTCATCAGAGGCCTGCTGTGAGGGGGGGTGCTCCCAGGACATGGACGGGGAGGCGGATGCACTGACACACTGCACGTACCGCTGCCACCCAACCAGCAGGGTGTGATCTCTGCATCTGCGCCAACTACCTGTCTGATCACTACCAACTACTTTACAATTTTAACCCTCCCCCGCGGTGGAACCAGAGGCATCATCTGCCCTGTAACCTGGTCTGGAATACTCTGTCATTCCAACCTCTCACCTGCAGGGGGGAGCAAGCCTGTTCAGCCTGAGAAGAAGAGGAGATTAGAACAGATTTTAAACAACAGAGGGAGAAGAGGGGGGAGTAAAGAAAGGGAGAGTTAATGACTGTATTGATGATGAAGGAACAGAGTGGATTTTATTTTTCGTTATGAAGTGAACTGATGGTTTTGGGTTGAGCTGAGATTAAGGGAGACAGTAGAAAGGAGGGAACATGTTCTACACACCGGTCGTCAGGTTTTTTTTTTTTTTTTTGGAACGGCAGGACAGAGCTCATCAGACAGTCTTTAAAACAATGTTTTTATATTACTCAAAAATAACTTTGTTGTTTAGTTTCTTTTCTTTGTTACATATTGTTAGATATTTTTACATCGTCTGTTTAACCTCCTCGGAGCAACGACATCTGCATGATCAGGAGAGAATGTTTCCTTAGCGCGGATGTTTTGTTCTGGTTAGAAGAGACAGAAGTGAATGGTGGTCCAGATGATAAAGGGGCTCGTGCATGGCTTGTCCAGGTTTAAGGGCCAATAATGTGGAAACTTCACATTCAATAGTGCAATTTTACAAAAAAAAAAAATTAAGATGTGCTTTTAGACAATCAGTGAAAAATGTTTTATGCAAACATAAACTCTTAACTCTATGATGTAGCCTTTTCTCGCAGTGATGTAGTGTTGTCATGCAGTGGTCTGGCTATTTACAAGAAGAATAGCTTCCTTTAATTTTTGTTCGTTTTTGTTTTGTTTGTTTGGGTTTGTTTTTTTTGCCCTAACTCTAAACCTTTACAGCCACTAGAATGCAGGGATTTATCTTCGTCTAAGGTGCCTTTAGGATACACAGCATAAATATTATGATGGGTTTATTTTTCAGCCAGCTTTTAAAAACATTTGTAGCACAGACGCTTTGTGTAACTTTTGGATTTTGGGTATCTATATATATATATATATATATATATATATATATATATATATATATATATATAGTGAAACATCTTGAGCTTTAAAGTATGTTTCAATGCTTTTTCTTTCTCTGTCAAGTACTGTAATCTCAGAAAGTGCTCTACATCAGAACAACAACAGAAGCAAAAACTTAATGAAAAAAAATACACTTCACAGCCTCTCCAGAGAGGATCGTTTCAAGACAGGATTTTGGTTTAAAAACTCTGCCTCCTCCAAATATGACGTATGTTAAAGAATTGTTTTTATATATTGTATATCTAAAAATATAAACAGTGAGTAAATTGTGTTAATGTAAAGATAAAGAAAAAAAGCCAATATTTGACGTCATGACGTCAGAACGACCTGCGTCATATTTACAGCACAGTCTTTGGTCCTATTCACGCAGATTCAAAAGAGTGGAACAGAGTTACTGTGCTTACAGTACGTGGAACACACACTGAGTACACAGAGGTGTTGGTCTTTTCCAGCTGATTGGTCCACACCTTCATCAGTACCTTCTCATTCTCCAGCTCTGTATTTCCCTCTTCAACAGGAGAAGCACTTTGTATTGATGTGGTTGGTCGTGCGTGCACGCCCGTGTGTGTGTGGGGCGGAGAGAGTGGCAAATGTTTGTAAGGTTTCATGTGAGACTGGGTGCAGTAATGCTGTAACAGTTATCGTTGGGCTTCATTCAGCATCGCTGTTGGACAGCACTGTAGTGTTCTTGGACAGTGGTACTTCAGCAACTGTCCAGTGTAGTTAATAAGATTGATTATGTTAGGTGTGAAATCTCTTACCATATGATATACTGGTTTAAAGGTACAATATGTAGAACTTGGTGACATCTAGTGGTGAGGACATGTGTTGTTAAACGTCTTTTTTCTTCCCTTATTTTTGGACAAGCATGAAAGACCAAACTGAAGTCCTCAGTTGTTATTGAAACATATGTTCAGTTTTTTTTTTTTAATATTCTTGAGTAAACATTATTAGTTATTTCACCCAGGGGTGGTTTTAAATCAAAACATTTAAATGGAAGTGTACGTTTGTAGAACGTCAGTGAAATCGTTTCAAATTCAAATTCAAATTTCTGTGTTTTTAAATGTCAAACCAGATATGAAAACAAGTGGTGTGGACACCAGTTAGTTAACAGTTTCACAATTAATAATCAAGTGTTGTTTACTTGATTATTAATTGTGAAACTGACTGATTTTATATATATGTATGTTTTGATAACATACAAACTGAAGTGACCCTATGTTTAAAAAACAATATTAGATTTCTTTGCATTGTTAATAAATAATCCTTGAA